GCCTTGCCAGGGACTTGACTTTGGAGTTCCATGCTCAATAAGTGTAGGAAATAAGGTGCTTTTGTTTATAAACTACCTGGTCTTCAGTAGTTTGTTATGGCAGCACAAATGGATTAAGACCAACTCTTCAATGAAAAATGTGGAATATTAAAAATAAAGTTACTCAAAAAATTAAATAAAATTAAGTTAAAGGTAAAACTAAAACACTGAAAATTATGAAACAAATGCAGACCAATGAGAGAAACATGCTGTGACAGTTTCTAAGAGGACAAACGAATAGTCCTATCAGATTTGAGTAATTAGAAAGTGTGGAGTGTCGGCGATTTGTAGAGAAAAGTGCACCCTGAAAGAAGCTATGGCCTTGAGGTGAGAGATGCATTCAGCCTGCTTGGACTCCTCCCTGGGAGCTGGATCCAGGATTCCTGTTGCCTGGATACAAACAGGAGACAGAGGACAGAGTGTTTGTGTTTGTTGATTTCATCCATCATGATCTGCTTCTTGGTGTGGAGAACCAGATAAAAGCAATAGAGACAGAATTTAACGAAGCAAAAGAAAATACTTTTTGGAAAATGTGCTTTCCTGAACATCAGATGACATATTTGTTTCCTTATCTCTGGTTTCCATGGGAGAAAAAAACACCATTATTTTTAGATTAAGCAAACTCATATTTCGATAGAGGTAGGCATATGACGCAAATCAAAGCAACCAGAAAACTTCACAAGTCCAGTCTCTTGATTGTTTCAGAGGTTGATGAGTTTGATACGTAGCTCACAGTGAGAAAATTAAAGTCTTTGCTGTGAACTGAACACTTAAGAACTGTCTGTTCTTAAGAGATCCTTGTGTTGCAAACAGCATGCCCCAAAACATACTTATTGCTCTTTGGAGGTAGGATCTTTGGAATACTAGTGTACTCAGGCCTTCTGAATGGGTTAATCTACTCAGGTTAATTGACTGATCCATTATCGGAACAGGGAGTCAAGTACTATGAGCAGTAGTCTTTTGGAAGAGACGGTTTGTCCATGTCGCCTGGACACATGATACCCTTGGGCTCCATCACGGTGAACATAATATTTATTCTTTGTTTGTTCTTTTGTTTTTTTGAGATAGGGTCTCACTATGTAGTTGAGACTGACCTGGAACTCACTATGTAGCCCAGGCTGGTCCTGAACTCACAGTGATCCTCCTGCCTCAGCCTCCCAAGTGCTGGGATCACAGGCGTGTACCACCACACCCGGCTCGTAATGTTTATTCTTTATAAATTTCCTGGTTTGTGGTATTAAGTTATAGAAACATAAAATGAGTTAATTTTTGTCTTAAGATGCTATTGAGCTCAGCGTGGAGAAAGATACTCACAGTTTCTGTAGAAGGATAAGAAAGTGAGGAAATTTGTGTGAGAGGAGTTGGTAGTCAGATTGCTGAACCAGTATGATATTAACTTTACAAAGCTAAGCTCAGGCATGTGGAGCCAAGAAATAGAGAGATGAAGGCCTTCATTATATCAGTTTCTTGGATTAATTAATACCTGAAGCTGGCCGCAACCAAATGCCCAGTTTTAAGGGACATGAGGAAATTCACTCAGATTTCTTGGATAAACTATTTGGATTTTGGTTTTGGTGACAAGATCTGACATCTGAAAAGAGACTGTTTCAAGTGAAGGACTTACATTATGAAATCGTTTCTTTCGCTGTTGGAACACAGTGATAACCATTCTTTTATCTTCACTTGGGATGTCCAAAAATATTATAGCAAAGCAATTTTTTGAATTATTTCCTGTTACATCTTTGGAAATCAGACAATACATTACTGAAGCTACAGAATAGAACAAGATATTTTATAAATATTTATTTATCAGCTATTTTCTTAACGTTTTTTACAAAGCTTTACAAAAATAAAAACAACCATCCAAGAAAGATTATAATCTGAAAAGAACTAATATGTAGCCTTTTATATCGATGACTTTTCTTATGATCAACAATTTAAACTAAAAAGTGAATAGGTAATCATGTTTTCTTTCGGTCTAAGTAGAGCTAATCCTCTGCTACCAAAGAAATATATTTTCCCACTTCAATATGACCCAGAAAACAAAAGTTTACTTTGTCCTCAATTAGTGAATAGTGTTTATTGTTAAAGTTACTTTCTGGTACTTGAGGGTTTTTGTTTTTTTAATTTTATATACGTATATCATATTTTGGTTCAAAAAAGAAAGGAGTCTTATATAAATGCCACATTGCTAAAGAATATTTTTTGTCTTACTGAAGTTTAATTTTAGCTGTCTCCCAGTCAATTGCATTAAATGATTTCAAAGGTAAGGATGAGAGAAATAAGAATGAATAAGTATAGCACAGCATCTTCTGGTTAATCATCACAGACACAGTAGTATCCTGCTTCCAAAGTTATTTTAACATTACCAATGAGGAGAAAAATAATCTTAAAAGCTTTTCTGATATTAATAGGTATGTTGTTTCTCTCCAAGACTTTAGATATGGAGGAAGTTTTTCATTTTTATCTAGATAAATATGAGACATCATCATTTTAAAGGTAATGCAGACCAAGAGGATTGTTAAATCTTAATATCAGATAAAACTGTCAGGTCGGCTAAGTCGCGGAGGGCAGTTTTAGCCCACAGATTTGGGTGGTGTGTTCCTCCAGTGAAGCTTGTCCTTATTGTGAAACCAGTGCTATTTATCTCAGCAAATGATTTCAACAATTACAGCCTCAGTAATTAGATAAAGTCCTCTTGTGGAGATGAACAAATCAAGCTCTCTTAGAAAAGATATCATTATGCATTCATTCAATTTGATGTTTATCAATAATCTTCTGATTAAGGTTTGGCAATTCATATAAGTCTGCCTACACTTACAGCCTACTTCGTATTCTATGGCAAATTATGGTCAGTATTCTCTTCTCATACAACTGAAATTCAGCTTTGTCTATGTAACTGTTCCCCTGGTAGACTGTCTATGTTTGTTTCGGTGAAATTGAGATTGTGATTCTTCAAGGTGATGGCTATAGCTTAAATAACCAGCACAGAAATCTCCTAGAGGAGAGATACCCATTGCTTCCTTTCCACACACAAAATGAATACACACTTCTCTGTTGTGGACCTCATCACATTCCAGCAGACACATGTCCTGATAACCCCACCTTCATGAATGAGCACTTCCTTAAATGAATTCATTAAACTGTGTCCCCAAGCTCTTCCATTTGAATGTTGCTTTGCCACAAATATACTTCAGCTCTTGCAACAGGCTCCCATTTCAGCTAGACTTACATTTGGATATAGTGGAAAAGGTAGGTCTGCCCATTCTATCGTCAATGTTTGCCATCCTTTCTCCTAGAGTGACCATGCCATGCTTAGAAAAAAAGTTGTTCCTATGTAAGTTTCAATTTATTTGCAATTAAAATTGAAAAGGTATCTAAAACATTCCAAGCAGGGTTTCAAAACTTATAGCAGAGTTCTATAAGAATACATTGGTATAAGATATATGTGTGCATATTTGTAAATATCAATGTATATAGTATATCTATGTCTTAATCTACTTTTTGCTAGGCTTTATCATCTATGAAGTTTTCTCTAAAGGTAACTTCTATTCATAAAAGCAAAATCTTATTGTTAAGAGTATAAACAGTCTTGCGCTGGAGAGAGAGAGAGAGGGAGGGAGAGAGAGAGAGGGAGAGAGAGGGAGAGAGAGAGAGAGGAAGAAGGGAAGGAAGGGGAGGAGGGGGCAGGGTTTTACTTTTGATTCCCATTGTGTCTGGATCCAGCCAACCCGATTGGCCTCAGTGAATGTGAAGTTAGGAAGAGATGTGCTCAATTTTGCTGTCCTAAACCAGAGGTATTTGTTCTCATCCCACCCATGAGTAAGATGAGTTCAATATGAAACTGGATATGGGGTTTTTTTCCAAAATTTCAAAATAGTCTTTATTCTATATTTTAGTATAAAAAAGCCACAAGTTCAGTGCACCACTGTGTAGAGAAAGACACACAGTGCTAAACTTCCTTAACAGTCAATGGTAAAGTCAAAGATCACGTATACAGAATACAAAATGTAGATGACCTGAAATTATAAGATAAAAATGAAATAAGATCCAGTTCTGGGAAAAAATCAAACTATCAATGATCCCTAAAGTATTCATAATCATAATGAGATTCCATTGAACTCAAGGGAGCCATGAACGGCTACATCAGTCACTGTCGCAGAAATGGTCCCTGGTTTTGATCTGAGAACTCCCCTTAATTTGGCTCAGAAGGCAAGCTTTCGAAATGCATTCTTCTTTGCCCCTCCTACTTTGAACACACTCTTTTATGGGATGTTTTGTACTGATATCCTTTGTTAAAATAAATCTTGGTTTTTCTGGGACCAAAGCAAATTTGGGATAGGTTTGTGTATGCACAGTCTATGAGGAGGGTCCGAAAGCACCGTCAGCTTGTTCTTGAGGAGATACAACAGCAGGCATAATGGGGACTGTGTTTGGAGCACATGGGGGTTTCAGAGGATCCTTAGGAAGGTGAGTTAAAGGAAGGCAGGTGGGGAAAAGTACAAAGAGAGAAGGGAACGAGTCTGGCTGGCTCTCTGTCCTGCACCACTGATTCAGTGGAGACTGGCAGGGAGGATGGAAGATGAGGGTCGGAGACGGCACGGGGAGCACAGGATGAAAGGAAGAGACAGACAGCTAGTGCGTTTTGTTTAACAAGTGATATAAATCAAAGATTTCAAGGCGATTAAAGACCAATAAGAATAATTTGACAACTTTAATTCTCAGGAAGATCAAAGTTCCCTCCGAACCTAATTTGATGTTTTATCGCTAAAAGCAAAGACCAGCGTGGTACAGTATTACTCCAGAGGAATTAAAGGAAGATCCTTCGGGCTGCTATGCCCACTTTCATTTTATGAATGGTTACCTCCCCTCCCTAAAATGCTTTAGGGAGGAACTGCTATCATAACATTGCTCCTTTATTAAATTTGAAAAATGCCTGAAGTTTGGGCATCAACAAGTGTCTAAACTGCAATAAAAGGGCAATGAAAGGTTAGTATGATTAAAGCAATTACATTGTGAGAATTGCTGAAGGTACCTGATGTCTTTTCTGGCACAAAAGCAGCATTGGTTCCTCCCCAGATGGTGGCACTACCATCTGAACCACCCGTGAAGAAGCTTCCGTTCAGCTGAGTTACCAGGACGTCAGCTGCCTGCAGTGCTGGAGGGCATCCAGGGGGCGGAGGAGGAACTCTGCCAGCAGTAGCCCCCGCTCCAAATGTGGCACCCGCATCATACCCGCCTTCCACCAGCACTGCTGAACCAGGCAGATATGCGGGACCAACTGGATAACAAGCCGTGGGGATTGTGGAACCTAAAGGCCCAACAGCCACAGACCCGGCCATAGGAAGATAAAGAGAGGCGCCGGGAAGAGCAGCTGACATAGTAGGGACTGTGGCAGCCCCTGAGTGTGCAAAGCTGGGACCATAGAGCTCTGAGTAGGCAGGTGGAGCATCATTGCAGGGTGAAGCCTAAGAAACATGAAAGTTCTGAGGGGTTCCTGGGTTCCCAGGAAGCTGCACAGGGCAGGTTGCCTGTGTTGGATATTGACATAGTGTCTGCGGGGCCAGTTCGACTTGGCCTCCCTTTTTTGTTTTGTTTTGTTTTTTATTCATCCTCCTGTTCAGAGTCACTTCCGTTTCCAAAACTGGATGTTTCTTCATCAAGAAAAATGATCCAAATTTCACATGTCATAGAGAAGTTCTTTAAAGCCGGGTGTGGTGGCACATGCTTATAATCCCATCACTCGGGAGGCCGAGGCAGGAGGATCTCAGTAAATTCGAGGCAAGCCTACGATGCATAGTGAGGCTAGCCTGAAATACTGTCTCAAAAAGTTAAAAAATGAATTTATTTAAGACTAAAATATGAATATTATAGAATTTTTATATTGATTCCAGAATGAAATTATTTCAAGTAATATATTGGCTATATATATATACAAATATATTAGTTAATTAGATGATTTTACTCCTGAAAAAACAGACTTTTAGGTACATAGAGATTGGTTCCAATTACAAGTTGACAAAGGATTACATTGAAAAAAGAAGGCTCAGAACAAATAAAGATATCAGAGACTAGATGGTAAAAGAATTCCTTAAAATACATTGTGGATTTCCTAACTCAGCGACTTCTCCCTTTAGAACTAACTGTACTACTAATAATATAAAATTATATTTCACTGAATCATAAATAAGGGGAAGGGTTCTAGCTCTGTGTGACATGAAGTTAAACACACTGGGCTCCATGTGTTCCACAGAACACTTCTCTAAAATCAGTCAGGCTGCACATAGCAGCTATTTGAAGGCTCTGATAAGTAAAAGCAACGGTGAGTGAACGGAGGCGCAAGACTAGCATTGGGGGTAAAGCAGGGGTGAGATGGCTTCCGATGGCCTGAGGCGCTTGGATGGATGGAACACAGTTGGAAACGTGAGAATACCTATGGGTTCCGACCAGGCCGGCAGGGTTCCCTTCCAGCTGAGGCTTAGGGAGAGAAGCACGGGTCTGCTGACACTCAGAGAAATCATCTGCTTACCTTTTTTCTGTTCAGCACTGAACTACTGGCTGTAGAAGTGGGAGCAGCAACAGTGAAGATGAGGGATTCCAGTGACTGAGACTGAGGGAGCGGAGCCTCCTCTCCAGTCAGAGCACAGGGCCCCGAGAGTATGGGGACCTCTGCGGTATCGCTTCTCTCCCTCCTCTCTCCTCATAGCCTTGCAGAGGCTCAAATGGAGCAAATCCATGATGGATCCTGGTAAATGAAATCCCAGTGCTGGCCAAGGACTGTAAAAAATAGAAAAGTCTTGTGGCATGAGAATGTCTGGAGGTCACGTAGGGAGACAAACGTGAGACATCGGCACCACAAAGTTGTGAACCCCTGAGCTCACCCAGAGACCGACCGGCATCCGTGAATTTCATGGAAATGTCATGCAGAGAAAGTTCGGAAACTACCATGACATAAAGCCTTGCCAAGAATTCCAGGTTAGGCATTGGATGTGGAACAGACAGGACAGCTCCGAAAAGCCCAGAAAAGACTTAAAGACAACTCTTTTTGTTGATGCTAAGACCCGCAGATCATAGAGTGTGAATCGACTAGGCTAATTTTATGTCAAAATCATAAACATACCAACTTGCACTGTAGAATTTTAAAAAACTCAGAATCTTATAATATGCTATTCAAAATGAACAGCAGGCAAAACAAAATTCCTCAGAACTGAAGAAAGAAAAAATATCTGGTCATTTAGGAGCAATGAACAGACACAAACTGAAGACAACAGGAATTGTTATATATGAGAAAGGACTAAAAGCATTTTGCAAAAATATTCCAACCAATAAAGATAAAATAAACACTCTTGAATGAAAACAAATACAATTCTAAGCACATGGAAAAGATATAAAGAATAAAAATTCTCCTTAGAAATGAAATTAAAAATTTATAACAGAAAAATATAATAACAATAAATAAAAATAAAACAAAAACTCACCGTTTTGGATTTTGCAGCAGAATAGAGATAGTAGGTACCAATTAGTTAGATGTATAGAATATATTTACAGAAAATGTTGAAAAAAATAATAGCACAGGGCCAGAGATTTAGCTCAGTGGTTCTGACACCAGCCTCTCAAGCACAAAGTCCTGAGTTTGATCCTTGGTACAAAAAAAAAAAAAAAAAAAAAAAAAAAAAAAA